CCCTGAAGTACAAATCTTTATGTGGATATATGTTTTTATTTCTCTTGGGTAAATACCTAGAAGTGGACCTGCTGGGTCAAATGATGCATTAGTGTTTTATTGCTTTGTAACAAAATACCAAAAACTTAATGGCCTAAACATTCATTTATAATTTCACAATTCAGTAGGTTATATGTTTGGGTAGGCTTAGCCAGGTTCTCCACTTAGGGTTCCACAAGGCTGAAATCAAAGTATTAACTAGGCGGGGTGCTTCCCTGGGACAAATGGATTCTTCCTAAGGGACTTCTTTCAGCTCTTTAAGGTTACTCAAATTCTTTCTCACAGGTCCTCTCCAGCTTCAAACCAGCAGTAGCACATCGAGTCTTTTTCACACTTTAACTTGCTGATTCTTCTTCTGTCATCAGATAGACAACTCTGCTTCTAAAGGGTTCATGTAATTAGTTTGGGCCCATCTGAACAATCTCCCTTTTTCCATATAATAAAATCACAGGAGATCATCTGAGTAAAAGTCATGGGCCATCTTAAAATTCTGCCTACCACATAAGGTACTTACGTTTAACTTTATAGGAAACCGCCAAGTTGTTTTCCAAAGTGGCTATACCATTTTACCTTTCCAATAAGAGTTCCAATTTCTCCACATTCTCACCAACATTTGGTATTGTCAGTCTTTTCAAGTTTAGTCATTGGTGAGTATGTACTTGTATCTCTTGATAGTGTTATTTTGCATTTTTCTGACTGATGATAATGAGATTTTTTTTCATGTGATCATTAGCATAAAATTTTGTTTGATGAAAAGTTTCTGTTTTTGAAAAATTGGTTGAAACCCACTCGCCTAGATAAACTGTGGAGTCTTCCAATGTCTGTAATATGTGAATCTCTCAGTAGGGCCCAAGGTCCATCTTCTTTTCTGAAACAAAATTCTGTCTTGAAAAAGGCATTGTGCTCTGTTTATGGGTGATAGATGAAGACAAGAATTCTTAATTATCTACATGGCCATATCCCAAATCTTAAATTCTGAGATCCAAATAACTCTTGATTACCAAATGTTTTTTTTTCTTAGTTAACACCAAAACCTATTGGTAGCAAAATGTGACCCTAATTCCTTTCTTGTTTTTGCTTTTTGTCTTGTTTTGCAGAAGGACCCTCTATTGTCACAGGGCTGTGTTGGCTGCCTGGAGGCCTTGCTTGACTACGTGTATGCCCGGAGCCCAGACCTTGGTAGAAATCTTCCTCATTCTATGTTGTTCCCCTGGGGGAGATTAGAGGAGGTCAGCCCTTGCTACCTTTCTTTCAAAGGTTTCCATCCCCTGTTGTGTAATTCATACTCATCTTGTTTAATTCTTTTAATAATACCGTAAAGGTACTATCATACCCTTTATAAACATGAGAACACTGAGGTTCAGAGAGGTCAGGTGACCTACCCAGCCATGGTCTCAAAATGCTCTTAAATGGCAGAGCCCTTCCTGTTGCCTGCCTCCCACAATCATGGGATATACTGTTTCACTGAGCCAGTCAGAACAGATGGATAGATAGCTCAGGAAAGAAAGAAACCTGTTGGAGCAGGCTATCCAATGGCCTGCCTGAAGCTGGGTCACTAGGAGAAGCTTATCACTAGGACAAGTGTCAGCCTAGTCCTCAGGGCTTTGGAAAAGCAGCATTAACCCCCTGGGGGACTGGTTTTGCCTGCAGCTCTCCATGTGGCCTCCCAGCCCTGGAATAGGTTTTTGCTGTTTACTCTCTTGGATGCTGGAGAAAATTCCTTCCTTAGATCCGAGATATTGAGGCTTATGACACTGGTAAGTACAGAAACAATGGCCCTATGGTCTGAAAAATGTCATGAGCTGGGTGGTGCTGAAGAGACTTGGGACATTTGTTTTAGATAACCCTTATCCTCAAATAAGGCAGAGGGGCTTAGTGGACCTCCGACTCCAAGAGGCCTCCTCACAGAATTCATTTGAATATCCAATATCCTCACCCCAAAGACCCTGACCCTTTTCTCTTATTTCTGTCACCACATGCCAAGTCTGCCCAGGATGTCAGTGAGCCAAAATCTAAGCTTCTAAGGGTTCCTCCATCTAGAGAAGGAGATAGACAAATGAAGAGTTGAATATGTTTTGCGTGGTGGAGTGGAAGAGATGCTAAGTGCTTGGCATATAGTAAATGTCCATTGAATAAATAACAAAGCAGTGAGTCTATGAATGGTAGTGAAGTGGATCTACAAAGAAATCATTGGTTGGTATGGGAACACAAAGAAGAGAGTAACTGCTTTTATAGGGTGAAGGTAACATTTTATCTGAGGCTTGAAGGATTAATAGGCAGAGAGGAGGAAGGTATTGAAGGTATTCCAGGTGAAATGAGAACACCAGATACAAAAGCAGGCAGTGGTAGGTTACGGAAAATGCACTGTTCATTTTGGCCATTAGTGTATGGTGCAAAGCTGGGGGAGGAAGGAGGCAAGGCCAGAGGGTCAGTTAGGGAAAGTTGCCTCAGGACTTCAGTTGCTTCATTTACCTCACTCCTACCCACCAAAGCAGCACTCTTGAAGGCAGGGTTCTATGGACTTCAAAACAGGATCCCCAGCTCATTGCCCAGTACAGCAGGGCACCGGAAATGGCATTTCCTCCAAATCACAGGGTATTTGGGGCTTCTCTTCCTGGGCCAGTTTGTGCGGTACAACAGCAGCAGTGTCCTCTCTCATGAAGAGGTGGGTCATGTTCTGCAAGTTGCAGCTTTGGCAGACCTATCTACCCTCTCAAATACCACACGCAGAGCTCTTCGTGACTTCTTCCTTCAGGTGGGTGGAAATTGGATGCCATGCAACCCCTGTGGGGCTCAACCCTCAACCCCATCTTTTTGGAGGTTGGATCTGGCTACAGCAGCCCTTAGGAGGTCAGAAGTACAGGGGGTAGGGGATGTTTAGAGAAGTCCTACCTTCACTACCCTCTTCTCCCCTAGGTCCAGAGTATGGGCCTCCTGATTGATCACGGTACTACACAGACCCTACAGGCCTCCTTGGAGAGCCTGTCCCTCAGTGCCTTCTCAGACCACCAGCCCCCGCAGGACATGCTGTATCCTTTCTTGCGTCTTGGAGCTTTGGCCTGGGCAAGGTTACCCAAACTATGAAGGCTGTGGCATCATGCTTCCCTCTTCAGTCCAAGTGGAAGAGCTGGTGATTGGCAAATCCCTTAGAAAGCTAGGGTTATAACAGTGGTGAGAGGCTCCTTGGGGAATTGTTGAAGTGCTCCAAAGACACTGTGGTGTAGGAGGTGCTTCCCACCCCCACCCCTGGCAGACTCCTTGGCTTTTTTCCCCTCCCACAGAACAGTTATAGTAACTACTTAGCCCACATATGTGGGTCCCTGTTCTAGAATTCATGCCACTATTTTTAGGAGCATCTCTGCTGTGATCATTCTAGCCCTTTTGGGGGCCCTGGAATTGTGATTCCCCACAGTTGGCTCCACCTTTCTGCTGTTCTCCTCTCATGTTTCATTACCAGCTGCTTGGGAGGGGTGGCTGTATCCATGTCCCACATCAGAGACTGAGCCTCAGGACTTGATGACCCAGAAACTGAGAGAAGTGAGACCTGGAGACAAAGAGCATAATTGGGGTGTGGGGAAGAGATAATTGCTGTCATTTATCTGAAGCCATTTACTTCACTGTGGAAATGGAATCAAGAAATAAAATTATACACCCATACCTGCATGGACTCTCCAAAAACATTTAACTGTGAACTTGTCTCCCTGGAGCTGGTTTATCAGCTAGTTGGATAGTGGATTATTTTCAGCATTATACACCCATACCTGCATGGACTCTCCAAAAACATTTAACTGTGAACTTGTCTCCCTGGAGCTGGTTTATCAGCTAGTTGGATAGTGGATTATTTCAGCAAAGGATTGATGGTTTCCTCAGGGGGAGAGAGGCAGATTTATTAGGGCAATAACACCTCAAGGAGCATCTGCTGGGTGCCTCAGTTGTACCCACAGAACATCAATTAGGCCACAGCTATCTTCTGGGCTGTCCAAAGGTCTCTGCAGTTGGGGCTTCTGCAATCCAAGTATTCTGAGAGGCGCTTCACCTTATATGGAGAGGGATATTAATTCCCAGGCAGGGAAGGTCAAATCCTCAGCCTTCTTAGCTGAGCTAAAGTGCTCCAGCCTTAGCCCTTCCCTGGCTAAAGTAGGACCCTTCAAATCTTTTCCCTCAAAGCTTGTTTTATATACTCATGCGAGCAGTTCTTATTTATTGTGTGCTCTTGGCGCTTGGCACATAGTCTGCACTCCCTAACTCTGCCTACTTCTGTTTTGAACTCAGCCCAGCCTGGGCCTCCGGGTCTCTTCCCCCAGGCGAGAGCCCCAGCGCAGGGATCACAAGCAAAACGGGCTTAACTCCGTCCTAAATGGACCCACGCAGAACGTGGTTTAGAGATTGGTGGACTAGAGAGGTGAGCAGGTTCTGCTAGTTGCTTGAAAAAGAAGAAAAAAAAAGTGCTAATTACAAACCATTAAATTGATCTTGCGACTGGCAGTTTAAAAATAAGGTCACAGGGTCTGGGATTGTGGCTCAGCGGTAGGGCGCTCACCTAGCACGTGCGAGGCGCTGGGTTCGATCCTCAGCACCACATAAAAGTAAGTAAAACAAAGGTATTGTGTCCATCTACACCTAAAATATATTAAAAAAAATAATAAGGTCACAGATGAGGAAACCGTTTCGGGAAACGCGCATAAGTCTCCCGGCTCTCAGGTGTTAGGCACCAGTTTGCTGACATGCGCTTTAAGTTGGTCACGGACCCCACCTGCAGCTTAACTTCCTCCAACTAACGGCCTTAATCGAGAGCGCCCAGGGTACCCGTTCGAGATGCAGTGAAGCAGGGGCGGGACGCGGGTAGGGCAGGACCCCTTCCAGCTGACTCGTCCGGGCACCTTCGCCCGGGTAAGGCGGGGGCGGGGCCGGAAGTGAGGTCACGGGAGCGCGGCAGTCGCGGCCCGCACTCATTGGCCGGGAGCAGCGCGGCGGGCGGGACTGTGTTCCATGGTGCCTACACGCCGCTTGCCGGGTTCTCCGGAGTTGGGTGTCTGTGCTGTGTAGCCTAGTGGACCCTCAAGCCGAGCTTCACGTCCAAGGTCTGTGGGTCCACAGAGTTCCGCAGCGCCACTTCTGCCTGGTAGGTGGGGCGGGGGCGCCGGGCGGCAGGTTCTTGGGGAGGGCCCTGCTGGTCCCCAGAGCCCCAAATTGGCTGCACGGGTGGAGAGGGAATCTCGAGACCTGGCGGCTCTCCTTGGGAAGACTCGCTTTCTTCTTTGGGAGCCCACAAGGCTCGGGACAGCGGCTTGGGCCTGCCACCCCGGGGAAGCCGGCTCAGCGCCCGCCACCACTGGATCACCTCTCGGATGGGTCTGGAGTCTCACTCCCATCCGTGAGGAGTTCCTGGGACGCGCAGGAAGGCAACAGGACTGAGTGGTGGAAAAACTGGGAATAACAGTAGAGAAAGCAGGTTCTGCCCTCCGCAATCTGCGTTTTCTGCTTTCCTTTTTCTCTTCTCCCCTGCTTCAGGCATTGTCGCTTCTCTGATACCCTCCTTGTTCCCCCAAGTTTTGCTGTAGCCTGGTTCTGGTTCCCTTGGGTCTGGTGCTGGTGGACAGTGGACGGCCCAAATGAACTTGGTTTCTTTCTCTAGGCTTCAGTTATCTCTTCTGCGTGGGGGAGGGGGTTCTCCTGATGACCTCTGAAGGCCTCTTAGTGTCTCTGAGCATCTCCCCTGGGGCAGGTTTCCTGGTGATTATTGGCCATTTGTGATCTGAGGTAGCTTATATACTCTTTAGAAAGAAGAGACAGCACACTGGACTGAAAGTCAAAAATATTTTTGGTTCAGCCTGGAAAGAGCTGTGTGACTGAGCAGATACTTCTTTTCTGTGCCTTGGTTTCCTTATTGGTGAAACTGGGTAACTGTCATCTGAGTGCCAGGCCTCCACTGACCATTTATTTAATGTCTCACCTGACCTACTTCCTGTCATCCTTCTGTGCTTATTTTATGTGTTTGTTGATTTTTTGTTGCTTCAACTAGCACATAAGTACTATGAGCGCAAGTTTTTTTTTTTTTTTCGTTTTACTTATTATATTCCCAGCGCTAGAACCATGCCTAGATTGGTAGGTACTCAATCAGGATGGTGCTGAATAGTAACAGGTGTTGCACATAATGACTTTTGGTCATTACACTCCTCCTCTTCGGGAGCCCACAAGGCTCTTAACACAGGCTTGCTTCCCTTCCCACCCTATGCCCCTTCTTTTTCTTTTTTCTGTGGTACTGGGGGTTGAACCCAAGAGAGGCAAGCACTCTATCACTGAGCTACATCTTCAGCCCTTTTAGTTTTACTTTGAGATGGTCTCTCTGGGTTGCTCAGACTATGCTCAAAGTTGCAATCCTCCTACTTCAGCACCCTCCACCCCCAACCCCTGAGGAGCTGGGATTCCAGCTGTGTGCAACTGTGTCTGGTTTCTCTTCTTTCTTCCTTTCTCAGACAAAAGTTGTAAGTTTCATAACCTCTCTCATTGCCTGGGCTTCAGGGCTTCCTAAAGCTGATTCTTGGTATTTAGAGGCTGTGCCACATCAGGGGAAGTTGCTATTCACTGTACTCTGTATTTTATTTAATGCCAACCTCTGGGTCTCACTCCCTCTCTTTGGGTTACTCCTCTAGCTCCAGGGTCTTGGAGATGGACTTTCTTCAGTTCTTGGCCTTCTTCTTTGTCCTGCTGCTGTCTGGAGTGGGGGCCACAGGTACCCTGAGGACCTCAATGGACCCAAGCCTGGAGATTTGTATCTTTTGTTGGAGTTCAGGGTAGGGTTAATGACCTGTCTCTGAGTGGTCAATATATGAAGCTTCTCTATACCCACAGTCCCTTGGGGGATTCCTGAGATGAGCAGACCCAGCTGGTGGGAACTGGGAAGAAAAGGTAAGGTGCTCTAGCCAGACCTTGAGCAAGTTGATTCTCTTCTGAGCCCATTTCTCCTTATGTTAAATGAAGAAGGCAGGTACATCTCACAGCCGCAAAGGCTTTGACTGCTTCTGTATCTAGTACCTTGTGGGCAAGACCCTAGGTGGTAATTCAGGAACTCTGGATTACTAGCTCATCTTGACCCTAGTGTACTGAACCACCTTCTCTGGGCCAGGCCTTGGGAACACAAAGATAAGTCAGGACCAGTCCCTAGTTTTGAGCATCCATAGGCATAGGGGGAGTATCTAAACAGATGGTTATTGTATGCTGTGATCAGTGCTCTGGTAGATGCAAGAGGGATGGGGAAACATTGTGCTGTGGATTCTAAGCTGGATCTTGAAAAAATAGAAACTTCTAGAGAAGGGGATGGGGGAATCCTAGGCAGAAGTTACAGCATGAGCAGAATAATGGAGGTTCAGGAATAATGAATGATTATGAGAGTTGGCAAGAAAACCACAAGGAAGGGAGGACAGGATCCAGGTTCTGGAGGGTTGGATTCAGGCTGTTGAATGTGGAGTCCTCAGAGAACTGGATCAAGGATACATCATGGGGTATGTGTGCTTCTCAGACGGTTTGCTCCTTCCCTTGGGGAGTCCCAGCCATAGGCATTTATGCCCCTTACATATACTTGCTGGTCAGTAATGGGCCCTCTGGTTCAGGATAGCTGTTTAGGCAGGGCTGTTGGTATTAGTCCTTTAACTTAGTGCTGTCCAGACAAGAAGATGTTTGAGGTGAAACGGCGGGAGCAGCTATTAGCACTGAAGAACTTGGCACAATTGAATGATGTCTACCAGCAGTACAAGATCCTTGATGTTATGCTCAAGGGGCTCTTTAAGGTTTGTGTGGGCAGGGGCAGCTCATGTCAGGTCAAGACTTTGATCTGGACACTGATAGATGAGTAGCAGTTCCCTAAGGGGATGGTGTTCAGTGAAGCAGAAGCTGCATGCACATAGGAGACAAAGTGGGGTTCAAATAAGTGGGGCTGGACCCAGGTTGTGAAGGGCTCTGCAAAGTCACAGCCCAGGGGGCTGGGGTGGTGGCTCATTGGTAGAGTGCTCGCCTAGCTGCATGAGGCACTGGGTTCGATCCTCGGCACCACATAAAAACAAACTAATATATCCACCTAAAACTAAAGATACATAAATAAATAAATATTTAAATTAAAAAAAAAAGTCACTCAGCCCAGGTGGGGTTCCCTCAGGTGCTGGAGGACTCCCGGACAGTGCTCATTGCTGCCAACGTGCTCCCAGATGGGCCCTTCCCCCAGGATGAGAAGCTGAAGGATGGTATGGTCTCCCTGGTCCTCTACTTCCCTCTCCACTTCTTTGGTCTTCTGTAGATGCTCTCTGTTCTGGTCATTCTTTTTTTCTCCCTGGAGTACCTTCTCAGTGGCCCCCTTGTGTGGTTGAGGCCTAATCTGAGCAGTTCTAGGCTGACAAAGATGTATTTTTTCATGCTGTATGCTTGGTGCAGGGGAACCAGGGAGGACTCTCTGCCCACCGCCACTCCAGGGGTTAGGACAGGATCAGTTGCTTACCTTCCTGACTCTTCTGGGAAGGAAGGTGAGATTTGTACCAATATAAAGGAGAAAAAAGCCAGGCACATGACACATACCTGTAATACCAGCAGCTCTGGAGACTGAGGCAGGAGGATCACAAGTTCAAAGCTAGTCTCAATAATTTAGTGAGGCCCTGAGCAACTTAGTAAGACCCTGTCTCAAACTAAAAAATAAAAAGGGCGGGAATGTAGCTCAAAAGTAAAATGCTTCTGGTTGATTACATTTTAACAATAACATTTCTTAGATTATACTGTCTGAGAGAGGATTGAAGCAGCCCTTGATATTGAGTGGTGGACACTATACAGACAACACCCTAATCTCGACTATGAGGCAAGCACAATTTCCTCCATTTTCTAGATGGGAAAGGATAAGTGATTTGCCTTTTCCCCCTATACCAAGCTGGATCCTGAGATCCCTGTGGTTCAAGATGATTCTGAAGCCAAGTGATCTCTGCCCATATGTCTCAGACCCAACCTGGCATATCTTTGGAATCTGTTTACCTCCCCTGGGTACCTGGCCTGTGCTGGGGAGGGCTGACTGGCTCTGAATGTGTCCTCTCTGCCTCTACTCACCTGGGTTTGGGGACTTGCCACTATGGTGGACTCACTAACCTTAGTCTAAACTGACCTATTGTTCAGAGGAACGTCATTAATGTGAAAATAAGTAGGGTGGTTAATTTTGTGTTGCTGTTAATTTCCTGGTTTGGCTATTTGTGTAATGGATAAAGAATTTTATATTATGTAAGACTAGAACAATTTCAAAATAAGAAACATTTAAAATAAAATAAAATAGAAAGAACATTTAAGAAATCCTGAAATCCTACAACCCTGACCTTTTCCCTGGCCATCCTAATGGAACTGACCCACCAAAAACACTGTAGTTGTGTTAATATCAGGGCCCTGCTCTAGTCATGTGATATGTTGGGGGACTCTTCCCAGGAAAGCCTCATGTGATGCATTAGCCTTTGTATATACAGTAGTACCCACTTTTGAGTTCCCCGCAGTAAATGAGACTTCTAAACATCAAGATGTGCCTTTGGACAGACAGACCTGGCTTTGCAGACCAGATTTGCCACTCATTATTTGTTGAAACTGAGTTCCTCAACTGTAAAATGGGAACAGCAGCCACATATCCCTCTAATGGTGGTTACAGGAATTCAGTGACCTGGGGGATATAAGGACCCTACCACACACATTACACATGTGATGGATGGCCTATCGCCAGTGGGTGTCATTACCTCCTCTGATTGGTGGGTTTCATGGATGCCAAGCCCTGGGGGTCAGCCAGGAGGGAATAAGAGGCCCTACCCTGTTCACTCATTAAGGTCCTCTTGCCAGCCTTCTCCCATGTGGTAGAGAACACGGCCTTCTTCGGGGATGTGGTACTACGCTTCCCGAGGATCGTGCACCACTACTTTGACCACAACTCCAACTGGAACCTCCTCATCCGCTGGGGCATCAGCTTCTGCAACCAGACAGGTGTCTTTGACCAGGGGACCCACTCACCCATCCTTAGCTTGGTAAGGATTGGGGTGGAGGAGGTCTGGGAGTCTTCTGTCTGGTGGTAGGCCAGGAGCCTTGTATTAGCCTGCAGTTGAACCTGAGTGTCAGTGCTTGGCTGTATTTTCTGTGATGAGCCTCGGTACCTTGGGCCATGGAAGCCCCATTTCTGTACCGACTTGGCTTCCTAGGGGTTGTCACTTGGCCCACATTTGCCCAGACCGGGGCCCTGGATCCCTGCATGGCAGGAGTTGCTCTTTGGTGAGGAAGAGGCAGAAGTCAGAGGATGACTGCCTTTTTCTCATCTGCAGATGGCCCAGGAGTTGGGGATCAGCGAGAAAGACTCCGACTTCCAGAACCCATTTAAAATAGACCACCCAGAGGTGAGCTGCGAGGGCCTATGGCCATGTCTTCTTTGCCTTTGTCCATTGTGGGAGGCTGGGCCCTCAGGGGGCTGGGTCCTGGGGTGGAGCATGAAGGCTTTGGACTTGGAGCCAAACATTCCTGGGTCTAGGTCCAGAAACTGTATTCACTGGAGCCTTTGGGCAAGTCACCGCTCCTCTCAGCCTTACCTTCCCTGTCTATTCACAAAGTATGCACACTAGCTCTGGGATGCAGTCCTAAAGCTGGGAACACACCCATCTCAATGCACAGGAGGCTCCCATGGTAGGTCAGTGTCAGGGCAGCCAGGTGAGGTCAGGCTGTGTTCTTCCCAGCCCTTGAGCCTCCATCTCAGCTTCTATCCTGCACTCCTACAAACGATTTTTCCCCCAGGGGGTGAGGTGAGCTCTGAGTTCTGGAAGCTACAGTTTGGGATAACAACATTTATACCATATATACCATAGTTGGGATATCAATATATTCCATATATATCATATATACCATAGTTGGAGGAGGAGATCAGAGAAGGGCAGGACAGGGCCTGGAGGGCCATGAAGGAAGGGCTTCATAGGTGGCTAGAAGACTGGACTCATCAAATTCCAAGTTGGCCCATGGTGTAGGGAAGAGTGTGGTCTGTGAGGGGTCTAGGATTTTACCCTGTTCACAGGCTAACAAGCTTGCCAGCTACTGTTGCATGGACACTAACAGATCAGAGACCTAGACTTTATTATAGCAAAAGCAGCAGTAGCCAGACTTGGCCTGGACATCTTGGTTCCCCCTTGTGCCCCAAGTCCCATGGGGTGGACATGAGGGGCCAGGTAAATGTTGTGCATGCAGTAGGTTTGCATTATAGCTGAAGACCACTGAGCTTAGGAAATTGACCACTTGTATAGTGAACGAAAGCAAATTTGCTCTTTGTTTTGGGGGAGATATTACCTTATCCTTCAGGATTGCTCTGTTGAAACGCAGTTGGGAAAAGTGGCTCGGTAGCGGCTAGAATTTTGCATTCTTGGTGTACCAGCAAGAACATGCAGGGGTGCTCAGGGACATGGTGAATTGCCTCACCCAGTAGTCTCCCCAAGCCCTATATATCTTGGTTTAACTCAAATATTTACATAAATGTACTATTCAGTCTTATTAATCTGACCAAGAGGCCATGATCAAATCTATTCAATTTGTCTCATACTTCATTTATTAAGATGTCTGTCAGAGTTGGGTGTAGTGGTGCACACCTGTAATCCCAGCAGCTCTGGAGGCTGAGATAGGAGGATTGTGAGTTCAAAGCCAGCATCAGCAATGGCGAGGCACTAAGCAACTCAGTGAGACCCTATCTCTAAAATACAAAATTGGGTTGGGGATATGGCTTAGTGGTTGAGTGCCTTTGAGTTCAATCCCTGGCAACCCCTCCCCCAAAAGATATCTATCAGATGTAATTTTTGTTTAATTGGTTGATTGTAAGTTTTTTATTTTTATTTTTTTTTTATACTGAGGATTGAACCCAGGATGCTTTACTACTAAGGTATATCTTCCGTCCTTTTTTAGTATTTATTTATTTATTAGTACTAGGGATTGAACCCAGGGGGTACTTTTATCACTGAACTACATCCATAGCTCTTTTTATATTATATTTTTAAGGGCTGGGGATGTGGCTCAAGCGGTGGCACACTCGCCTGGCATGTGTGCGGCCCCGGGTTCGATCCTCAGCACCACATACAAATAGGGATGTTGTGTCTGCCAAAAACTAAAAAATAAATATTAAAAAAAATTCTCTCTCTCTCTCTTTAAAAAAAAATATATATTTAAAGTTTTATTTTGAGATGGAGTTTTGATAAATTGCTGAGGTTGGCCTCGAACTTGAAATCCTCCTGCTTCAGCCTTCTGAGTCTCTGGGATTATAGGCATTTGCCATTATCCTGGCTTCAGGTGTGTTTTAAAAAGGAAGTGAAGCCAACCAGCTCTGTTGACCTCAACCATGTTCTCCAGGATCCCTGACTCAACCAACTGTGATTAAATCCTGAGGGGACTAGTAGGTCTCATTTTGAACAGTCAGGATATAATCTAAGACCAATCTTTTTTTTTTTTTTTAAATACTGGGGATTGAACTCAGTGCATTAGACACATCTCCAGCCCTTTATATATTTTATTTAGAGAAAGTATCACTGAGTTGCTTAGGGCCTTACTAAATTGCTGAGGCTGGCTTTGAACTCATGATCTTTCTGCTTCAGCCTCCTGAGCTGTGTGATTACAGGTATATGCTACCGCCCCCAGCTAAGACCAATCTATTACCCATTACTATTCACTTAAGAGAGTTTAGGGGCTGTGGCTCAGTGGTAGACCACTTGCCCAGAGTGTGTGAGGCACTGGGTTTTATTCTCAGCACTGCATATAAATAAACGAATAAAATAAAAGTCCATCAACGTCTAAAAAAAATATTTATAAAAAAGAGTTTAGACTTACCTGCCGATTTTCATGGGTACTATTGTTGTTGTTTTCTGTACTAGAGATTGAATTCAGGGTGCTTTACCACTGAACTTCATCCCCAATCCCTATATTAATTTTTTGTTTTTGTTTTGAGACAGGGTCTCACTAAATTGCCCAGGCTGGCCTTGAATGTAACTGGGATTATAGGCATGTGCCACCACACCTGGCCATGAATGTTATTAGTAATTATAGAAGGCAATTGATGGGACTAAAGCAGCTCTTGTCCCCTACAAAGAGACATTCTGTGGCCCATTCTCTCACCTTGCACTCTGAGTCACCAGTACCCAATTCACCTGAGCCTGAGGGCAGTGTCACTGCAGTTTTCGCCTCAGTTGCCCTATATGGTATAATCCAAGGCTGCTCAGATATTAGGAGAAGCAGATACTGTTGTATCTGTACTGTTGAAACAAGATTGTATTGTCCTGTGTGTCTGCACAGGGTCACTTTCAGAGGCTACCTTCAATGGTGTCAAGCACAGTAGAATAGTTCAGTACTGACTTTGTCCATGTGAGTTTCTCATCATGTGGATGGAAAAGACACACCTAGCAGATGGTTAGACTGTAAGTGGCAGCTGCCACTGAGCTCAGGCAGAACCTAGGATTGTTTTGCCAGATGGTAGTGCTGGATCTAAGGGACAAAGACAGCATAAATTGTTCCTTGCACTCAACAGAGTTCAAGGCATTCCCTCCCTAGTTGCTTGTATTATTGCTATGAAATTCATGTGTCCCATCAGTACTTATAATTTTACTTTTCTCTGATCATCCCTTCCTCTCACCTAGACCTTTTCTTTCAGAAGGATCAGGTATGAGTGGGACAAGGGAATTTTAACAAATTTATAGAGACCTTTTATGTCTTCCATCTGTGCTCACATTGGCCACTACAGGAGAGTAAGCACATAATCCAAGTGGTTATAATCCCAGTGGCCTCGGGCCAGACCATTCCAACCCAAGACTTAGATAGGTAGTCAAATCTAAACTACAGCACCTTCTGCTTTGTGCTTGTTTATGGTAGTGGGTGTGCTGCTATGTCAAGGACAGTGATGCATTTAGGGACAATGGCAGTGTAAATTTGATTAGCAGTTTGATTCTAGTTAGCTTTATCAAAGAATGGGCTTTATCATGGTCATCCAGAAAAGTGACCCAAATGGGCTAGTTAGCAACCGCCAAGTATTTCCACAGTTTGTGGTCTCATAGAGGAATGGGAGTCTTTGATCTGCCAGTCTCTATGGAGTCTTCTGAGTAGCAGACCAAACACTAAGGAAAGTCACTAAGAATATACCATGCCCAGTTGCTCGGAGTGTTGTCTCAGGCAAGGGTGACAACTTTTAATTCAGATCATTGGAGGGTACATAGCATTCAGCAAATAGTCATACTCATGGCTGAGATTTACTCCAGAGAAAGAACAATCAGCAAAGGGAAAAGGCACATGGGGCAGAGTTCAAGGAACCCAGCTTACATAGTCCTCTACCAGTAGTCACATATGATGTGCTCAATTTCCCCAGCACAAGTTGTGACAACACATGTAAAATGTTGTCTACCAGCGAAGCTCGTAGAGACATAGGGCCCAGGTTTTATGGGGAACCATTTACATGGTTATCCTTTGCCTAACTTGTGCAAAAATTCCAGCCCTGAAGGAAAGCAAGTGATCAGCATAAACCATACTTTTTGCACAAACAGTTTAGGCACAGTGAACTACTCTTTTTGTTTTTGGTATCAGGGATTGAACCCAGGGATGCTTAACCACTGAGTCACATCCCCAGCACTTTTTTTTATATTTTATTTTGAGACAGGGTCTCACTAAGTTACTTAGGGGCCTGCTAAGTTGCTGAGGTTGCCTTTTAACTTGAAATCTTCCTCCCTCAGCCTCCTGAGTTGCTGGGATTACAGGTATACACCACCACACCTGGCTAGTAAACTACTCTCATTGGTTAGGATGGTGGGAACCTTCTTGAAATATTTATGATTGGGGTTCTGGCTCAGTGGTAGAGTGCTTGCCTAGCATGTGTGAGGCACTGGCTTCAATCCTCAGTACCACATATAAATAAATTAATAAAATAAAGCTCTATCAACAACTAAAATATATATATATATAAATATAAAATTTATGTTCCCAGATGATAGTCAAGGGTCTGCCTTGAAGCTGGGTATTTATTTATTTATTTATTTATTATTTTTGGAACTGGGATTGAACCCAGGGGTACCTCAGTTCCTATTATTTTTACTATATCTCTAGTCCTTTTTATTTTTTAATTTTGAGTCAGGGTCTCCCTAAGTTGCTGAGAGTCTTCCTGAGTTATTGAGGCTGGCTTGTGATCCTCCTGCCTCAATCTCCCAAGTTGCTGATATTAGAGGCATGAGCTACCATGCCCAACTGGAAACAGACATTTTGAAGAATAGCAGTCAGGCCTGAAATGTTAATTTGCTTCTGTACTACACCTTAGCTTTTAACTTAGCTGAGCTGCAGTGGACCAGGCCTAGAATATTTAGAGGAACCTCTGAATCAAAGGCCTTCTTGAGCCATTGGCTTTGCTTTCTGCAGCAGAGTGGGGGATATGGTTTTTTTCCCTTGCAGAAGTAACTATCATGCCTTCAGGTAAAACCAAATGACATATTCCTCAAAGCTGCTTTCTGCAGTCATAACTCTAATAATCAGCCCTGGTCAAGAACAGTGAGGACCGGATACTCTTGGTGTACACAGCCATGGTGGTTTATACCTATGGAGATGCTTTATTGCTGTGAAGTGGGCTTTTCTCACCCAGCAGTCATAGATTCCCCTCTCTAATGGAGGAAGGTGAGCATATGGGCCATAGAGAGAATGAATGCCAGGTTAGGTTTGGACTTGTATCTGCATAACGAGCTCCTGGACATAACCATAGTAGCAGTATATATTTCTGTTCTTCATTATCTGGGGATAGTCCTGAGATTTACCTTTTTTTTGTTTGCTATCCTGTGGATCAAACCTAGGGCTGTGCATACTAGGCAAGAGCTCTACTACTGACCTACACCCCCAGCTTGCCTCCTTTTTGATGGACATGTCCATCTGCAGCAGTCACGGGTTTGCTTATCTTCTCTTATTCCTGATACGTGTCCTTTGTGCTAAGTGTTCTTTTGTGTGTGTGTGTGTGTGTATGTGTGTGTATGTGTGTCAGGGATTGAACCCAGGGGTGCTTAACCACTGAGCCACATCCCTAACCCATTTTATTTTTTATTTTGAGACAGGTTGCTTAGGGCCTTGCTAAGTTGCTGAGGCTGGCCTAAAACTTACAGTCCTCCTGCCTCAGCCTCCAGAATTGCTGAGATTACAGGTGTGCGCCACCACGCCTGGCTTGGTGGGGCGTGTTCTGAGAGTTTTCTTTTTCATCTTATGCATCATCACTAGAACCAGGTTGGTCACTGTCTCTATCCTGGGGGCTGGACCTGTCCCTGCTCTTCTGATGCTCATAGTATGCTGGAGGAGGCAGCAAGGAAATAACAGTCCCAGTCCAGCATGATCCCTGTATCAATGGTGGAGGGGAGTGTAATGAGGGGGGAGTCTGCCCCAGTAGTGGCAGGAGGTGGCACAGGCTGTGGGGAAGTAGGAGTTGCTATGTGGACCAGTGGCAGGGGCCCTTCCTGGTGGAAGCATGTGCTTGTACAGAGGCCTAGATGCATAGCATGTTCATTTCATTTATTGGATATTTGTTGACTCTAAGCCAGTGGGGAGACAGATGAACCCTGCTCTCCCAGAAGTGGCATTTTTGTTGGAGGGGATGGATGGACAAGAAAAAAAATATATGGTAAGTGGTGACAAAGGCTGTGGAGCAGCATCAGGTGGGGAAACGGTTGCTGTTCCCATGGAGTGAACACAGTCCTGCTGGCAGAGACCTTTGCAGGCTGAAGGGGCACTAAGTGCACAGACTGTGCTGGGAGCATCTTTGGAGGTGGGAGGTGGACAGTGTTGTAGGACAGATCTCAAGACCTTCAGAGGTCTCACCAGGGGCTTTGGCATTTGTTCTGAGAGATATGGAGGCCAGGCTGATGGGCACTGATGTGCCACTTTAAAAGTGTCAACATGGGGGCTGGGATTGTGGCTCAGTGGTAGAGTGTTAGCCTAGCACAGGAGGGACCCAGGTTTGATCCTCAGCACCACATAAAAATAAAGGCATTGTGTTGTGTCCATCTACACTTCAATAAAATAAAATAAAATAAAAATGTTATAAAAAAAGTGTCAATATGTGGCTGGGGTGGTGGCTCAGAGGTAGAGAGCTTGCTTAGCACGCCTGAGGCACTGGGTTCAATCCTCAGCACACATAAAAATAAAATAAAATTGTGTTCACCTATAACTTAAAAAAAAAGTGTCAACATGGCTACTGGGTAGAGAGTGGTCTTAGGACCATGGAGGGAGGAGGCTTCTGTGTTCGTCCCTTGGGGAGCTGAAGACAGCTGAGGTGGCTAGAACCAGGGAGCAACAGTGCAGCCAGTGAGCAATGGTCAGGCTCAGGGTCTCTCCTGGAAATAGAGCCCATAGGATTTGCAGAGGAAACAGAGGGCGAGAGCGTGGAAGAAGCACTAAGAGAGACTGGAAGCTAGAAGGCCACGAGCTGAGCATCTGGAAGAAGGGGGCTGGGTTTTCTCCATTGACTGGGGAGGGAACTGTGTTTCTGCACCTGGGGAACATCTGAAAAGACACAGAGGAGGCGATTGGATATGGGGCTGTAGACTCGGGGAGGAGACAAAGCTGTAGCTACAAATGAGAGCATGCCTATGTAGGAGGCACTGGGACAGGAGTGCTCACCTGGGGGCCAGAAGGAGAAGCCTCCTGGGACCAGACGGAGCTGCCATGAGAGGCTGGGGAATGCAGAGGACCCACAGAACCCCAGAAGGAGCTGTCAGTGTGAAGAGAGTGGCTTGCCAGCTGCTGCTGCAGATCAAGGGAGAGGAGGATGGTGGAATCAATACTGGATTTAGGACTGACAGCCGGAGGCCATCAGGGGTGGGTTTGTTTCTTTACCCAGGAGCACTTTACCACCTAGCCACATCTCCTTTTATTTTTATTTTTTAATATTTATTTTTTAGTTGTAGTTGGACACGATACCCTCATTTCATTCATCCATTTTTATGTGGTGCTGAGGATCGAACCCAGGTCCTGCATATTCGAGATTAGCGCTCTACTGCTGAGGCACAGCCTCAGCCCCACTTTATTTTTTATTTTGAGGCAGGGTGTCACTAAGTTGCTGAGGCTGATCTTGAATTTGTGATCCTTCCACCTCAGCCTCTCAAGTCACTGGGATTACAGCATCCATCACAGTACCTGGCCTATTAGTGGTGCACAAGTGATAAGTTCAGGTCACACAGAAAGTGCATGGGAGACCTGGTAGATTAATCCTAGTTAGGCCTCCCACTTGCTGTGTGACTTCAGCATATCACTTACCGTCTCTGGGCCACACTTATGATTTCCCCATCTTCCAAAGGCACTGCTCAACCTAACTTGGTAAATAGATTGCTCCACAAGATGGAGCTCTTAGTTTGTTTTCAATGTCTGCCTTGAACAAACATTTGTCAAATTTGCCCTAAGAACATATAAAAGGGGCATATTTTATAGCCTGAGTTTGGGATAGTTTTGTATGTCATTCTAACTGACTCATCCATTCACTTGGAAGACACATGGAGTGCTACTTAGAAGCAGGCAGACACTGTGCTGGGGGGCTCAGGGCATAGTGATGAGCAGCTCCTGAGACCATCCTCATGACCTGGTGAAATACGCTGCCTGGCAGGTGACGGCACCAAATGAGTGCTCATAAGGTAGAAGTGCTAAAAAGGAATCAGGGGAAAATAAGGAAGGAATCAGTACAGAGTGATAGAGTATGCCCTAGGAGGCAGCCCAGAGGAGGTCCTAAGGGCCGCGATGGCCAAGCTGGAGCCAATATGGTAAATCAGATGGGGGCTAGGAAGAGCGTCCTGGACCTCAGCCACAGTGTGTGCCAAGGCCTTGGAATGGCAAGATGGGTGCACTGTAGGACGGAGAGGTGGGTGAGTGGTTCCCGGGATCTTTGTCCTGAGAGTCATGCAGAGTCATGCAGGGTGGTAAGCAGGAGAGTGATGAGGTAAGATCCGCATTTTGGAAAAATCTAGCTGTAGTAAGCATAGCTTGAGAAGGACCAAAGTGGAAGTGGGCAGATTCTGAGAGGTTCTGGAGTTGTCCAGGAGGAAGGTGGGGTGGTGGTGTGGAAGGCAGTAGTAGAGAAGTAAATGTATTTGAGAAAGACTTTGGGGTTAAAATGAGCCAGGCCTTGGGACAGACTCAGTGGGGGAGTGAGTCGAGGGAAGCTGGGGTTCCTCATTCTGCCCTGCTTCCTTGAGGAAGCACGGGCACCACTGTCCTTCAGGACAGGGATGCTTGAAGAGGATGGGGCTTTGGGAAAATGCAGCCTTGTCAAGCTGGGAAATAGGCACTTTGGGGGTATCGGGCAGCAATTAGACATGGTTTGAGGGATAACTGACCAAATAGACTAGCAGAAGCTGTGGGCTGGGGAGACTTCTGGAGCGTGCAGGGAGGAACCAATGACCTGCTTGGGATTGTAATTGAAGATGCCCCAACCCTGCTTGCCCTGTGCTCCCTCTCTTCTTCCACTTGCCAGTTTAGCCTTGCTCCCCTCTGCTCCCTTGTACCTTCTGCAGGGACTGCTCCTTGCCCACAGGCAGCAGTACCCCTTGTCTAGGATTTGCTGGCCTCCTCTCTTCCTCCTGGAGGGTGTGATAGGGGATTCCAGGCCACTCTGCCCCTCTCCCTGGAGGAGCCTGTTTATTCTCCGTTCACACCTCAGCATCTGCCCCCCTGCCAGGAATGCCCTTACCTTCCCTGTTTGCTTGGCAGTCTCCTGCTTATTTTTCAAGAACTGATCAGCAGTTGCCCAAGCCCATTTTAACGAGGTCAGGACTGTGGCCAGGCAACCTTTCTGTCTCCATACCCTGTGGCCTAGAGGGCTCTTTGCTGCTGGCTGACTAAATCAGACCACTCTGCTCTTCTCAGTTTATTCCCAGCACTGACCCTTTCCAGAAGGCCCTGAGGGAAGAAGAGAAACGAAGGAAGAAAGAAGAGAAGCGGAAAGAGATCCGAAAAGGCCCAAGGATCTCCCGATCCCAGTCTGAGTTGTAACCCTGGAGCAGCACAGGATCAAGGGGCCAGCAGGAGGCCTCTCAAGAGGACGGGGAGGCAGCTACGTGGCTGTGGCTTGGCAGCCTCCACCATGGTGGTGAGCACCGGCCCCTTCCAGATGGCGACACCAAGTTTACTGGGTCCTCAGGAGCTGAAGGGACTATACATCAGGGGGCTGAATTTTCTCCCAGGACCTCTAGAGAGGGTGTCCAGGAGGCCTTTAGAGAACACTGTGGAGACTGCCGGGGAGGCAGGAGGGCCTCCTGGCTGGACTCTTGGTAGGTGAAGGTCCTGGCTGGCTGGCTGCTGCAGTCTGCAGGGAAGCATCAAAACCAGGCTCTGAATCACTGGAAAAGGTATGATGCCTATTTCTTGTCCCATTGTGTCCCAGCCCAGGTCCCAGCTCCTCTCCAGAGACACAATAAAAGCCGGAAAATTCACTAGACCCACTGAGGCTGGTGAGGGGACTGTGAGGAATCAGGGGCCCTCAGGAATGTTGAGGCCAGCTTAGAGGATGTTCCCACCTCATCAAGAAGAGTCTCAGGCCTGATGGAGCAAAGAAGCAGAGGCTTGGCTCAGGCTTCCTGTGCCATCCTCAGCACTGCCCTTGATGAGAGTTCATTGTCAGAAGGGGAACTGGAAGAGAGAGAGTATTTGATCCAAGGAGACCTGGGAGCAATATGATCTCTGTATTCAGATAACCTAGGGACGGTCATTGAGCGGATGCTGGGAATAATCCATGTGCTGTCTCTGGCCATGCTGGAGGACCTGCAGCCTGTGGGTGGGGGCTGTAGGGCACCAGCAGGAGGCTGCTTTGCAGTGATCCAGTTTGGTCGGAGTGCAAACTCCATCTCAGGAGGTGTGCAAGCAAGTTCCCTTGGCCACAGGACAGAGGAGCTGCAGAGGGAGTTAGGGCCTGAATGGCCCTCCTGCTTTCTCTGGCCACCAGTGGAGATGGCTGCCCTTTACTCCACTCCTGCCCCTCCCAAGCACAAGAGGGAGGGGAATTCTACCTCTGCCTCTTTGACCTGGCCCAGCTGGGATCTGCCTCTTACTGGGGCAGAGACACACAACCATCATCAAAGCCCCCCACATCTGGCCTTATCGCTGATAGCATCCAAGCAAAACTTGAATCAGCCATCAGACTTACGGATCCTGGCCTACTCTTTCCCTTCCCTGTGCTTCAATGGCAAAATGAGTATGTTGATATGAGAACCCTCTGTCCTGCCTTGACCTGCTTCCTTGAGGCAGGACTCCCTCCTGGACAGGGCAGTAAAGGGAAGCTAAACCTTAAGTAGGTCCCAAGGGTGGGCCCAGAGTATCCTGTAATCAATCAGAAAAGAAGAGGATAAGAAGTAGCAGGAGCTGGAGGTATGATGGAGAAGTCTTTCCATCCGAACTTTCCTACCAGCTACCTGCTCCCCATCACTGGCTTGACATCAGAATCTGGGTGCTCCATCCCCAGCTCTGCCCCCCGCCCCCCAGCTATCTTTGAGGATTACAGCAGATGGTGATTGCTGGAGTTTGTGAACTAGAGGACTAGAGAAAGTGTGGGACCCCATGATCAGCTGTTCACCCTGTCCTGGTACAGCCCCAGGTTCTTCCTGTCCTATTGCTGAGAGGCGGTGGTTGCTGATTTGCATGGAAGGTGTTTCCTCCCTTAACTGGAGGAAGACTTTTCTGGGAATCAGGCCTGCCTGGCTATTGACCTAGCCTTTTCAGGTCCATAGGGGTGGTCCTACCTCAGGACAGTGCAAAGGTAGTTCCAGCTTTGGCTGGGGGTCCCACCAAGTGACTTCTAGGGTCTCTGTCATCAGCAGGACTTTTTATAATTTGAAGCAGAACTTAGCAACTGCAGAGTGATGAGGCAGCCCAGTATGCTGGGGAGGCCTGAGCACCTTGGATCTAGCCTTGGGCTCTGTCCCTTGCCAACCATTGTCTTCAGAACCAGGTCCTTGGGTCCCCTATCTCAGAATGCTCCAGGGTTTGGGAGGATAAGCTGTAGAAAAAGCAGAAGGTGGTTGGAAATTTAACTGACTTCTTAGTGACATGTGCCCTTCTCTGATGGTTCTTTATCACATTGATTTGCTGCACACTTACTCCATGGAGGGCATAAGGAAGGGGCCTAATTTTCTCTCTCTTCACATCTGCCCCATCTGGCATCTCCTTCCTCTCGGACTCTGGACTCTTCCCTCTTCACCTCTTCTCCTCTTGGGGAATCCCATCTTTTACCTCAAATGGGCCCAAGGTGTCCCATCTGCCTTCCAAAAAAAAAAAAAAAAAAAGAAAAAAAATTTTTATATATATATATATCCACTCCTATTTGCCCCTTCTCTCAGCTTTTTGTGCCATTGTTGACTGTTGTGACCACTTGTTCTGGGAACTAAACTTTCTGGGACTTATGCAGGCAGAGAGACTCCCCCCAGCTGTAAAGTCTCAGGGCACTTTTTTATCCAGCCTTTCCCAGGAGCTGGGATTCACTTACCTGGACTTGCACCAACTGGATGCACCCAGCTGGTGTGGGATTCCTACTGGTGGCTGCAGGTACCAGGGACATCAGTGTGTGTGTGTGGTGGGGGGGGGGTGTAGTGGAGGGGGAACTGTTGCTAGCCAGTCCAGTGACCAGTGTCAGGAGTGCCCAATGGTGGCAACAGTAATATGGTGTAGTCTGCTGAGCTTCCATGCCCTGTTTGTGGCACCCCTGGAGAGGCTGAGAGCCCCCTAACATCTTTCAAGGCAGAGTTTCTCAGCAGTGGCACTATTAAAATTTGGCGCCAGGTGATTCTTGGTTGTGTGTGGTGGGGGAGCGCTATCCTGAGTGTGAGGGTTATTTAGCAGCATCCATCCCTGGCCTCTGCCTACCACGTACCAGCAGTCCCTCAGTTAGGAAACTGAAAATGTCTCCAGGCATCACCAGATCTCCCCATGGGGAGCAGAACCTCCCTGGTCTACAGCCCCTCTCCCTGTCCCCATCATCCTCGGCCCTCCCCAGTCCTTGCCCTCAGAGGGAGATTGTGGATGGCTGCCATTTCTTGAGGCGATCCTCCTGGGCTGCTTGTCCTGTGCTTTGCCCTTGGTCTGAGCCTGCACTGTCTCTTCCTGGCTCCTCTTTCTTCACTTGATCCTTTAAATGAAGGATTTTTTTGGTTTAGCGCTCTCTGCTTCTTGGACAAACACCCTCTAAGACCTCAAAGTTGATGGCACCTTCTCTGTCACCATCTGATAATCCTCATTGCTTATGTTTGAGTTTGTCCTAAGCCAAACTTGTTTCCCACCTTCTAAATCCACCTCTATGTCAAATTCTTGGTTGATCCTGCTGGAAGGCCTCATGGAAGAAGTGATATTTGAACTAATTCTGAGAGACTGGAGGAAGAGGGAGCGGAGAACAGGTACTAGGAGCAAACGCCTGAAAGGGCAGGCATCAAGAGAGAGTAAATGGCAAGGAATATGCCTGGTTCCCTACTGTGACCTGTGGCAGGTGCCTATCCAGGATAAATATCTCAACATAGTGGTCACCTAGTCCAGCCCCTCTGTTTTCAGGTAAAGAACACAGTTCCTGAAGAGTAACTTGTCAAAAGCTGTTTCACCCCTCAGAGCCAGCCTCTGACCTCCCAGCCAGAGCAGGGTCAGGGGAGCACGGCAGGATTTTGCTGGGATCTGGGTCTAGTGCAGCCAGTCTTCTTTGACCACTTGTACTGGAGCGTTTATTTGGGTTTCCTCAGACTTGGTCAAGCACCAGGTCCTATGGGCAGGTCCCACTGGGAGAGCTACAGAGTGACAGTGCTTTGCCCACCTTCCTGACCTGTTGCTTAAGGCAGCCCTTGGGGAATTACTGAGGTGCTGGGGCAGAGGACACTAGAACAAAGCATATTTTATGAGGGTCTTTACCATGTCAGTTTAGCAGACAGCAACCATCAGTTTGCCAGCTACAGTGGCACATGCCTGTAATCCCAGAGGCTGAGGCAGTATGATCACAAGCTGGAGGTCAGCCTGGGCAATTTAATGAGACCCTGTCTCAAAATTAAAAAGATCTGGGGATATAGTTGAGTGGTAGAGCACTGCTGGGCTCAATCCCCAGAACTGCAGAAACCAAAAACCATCCCTGTGAGGAGTCCCAGCAGCACCACTGAGAAGTACTACTGAAGATGGCACCATCCAGATCCAGAGCAGGGCAGCTGGGTTTGGGTCAGCTTTCTATTTCTGTGTGTAAACAATAAAAGAGCATTCTTGTTTTATTTACCCCCCAAATAAGACACTACTTATTTCTCAATAATTATGCATGTTCATCATAAAAAGTAATTTAGACAATACAAAAAATACCAGGAAGAAAGTAAGACTCACCTCAGATCCCCCCACTCAGCCAGCTGTTGGCCTTATTTTTTCAATTACAATTGCTACCTTGTATGAGAGCTTGCTATATGCCAGGACTTACCACATGTGCTGTCTGGCAGCAGCTCCTCCAGCCTCAAGTGTTTGTCCATGTCATCTGTTCCCCCTGGGTATACCAGAGGCAGAGCTGGCCTCTCAATTTTAAGTTTTGTCTTAAATACCACTTAAGAATTTGGTGTGTATTTTTTTTTCCAGTGTTAAGGATGGAACTCAGGGCCTCATGCAGGCTAGGCAAATGCTCTACCACTCAGCCACACCACCAGCCAGTCTTCTTGACCATCGAAAGTTATGTCCCATCACTTTTCCTTCATCATTTGTACTACCATCATCTATTATTGTTTACTGCCTTTTCTTTTTCTCTCTTCACTAGACTGGAAGCTCTTAGCAGGAACTATTTGCCTGCCAGAGATAATCAATAAATGTTGTTAAAAGAATGTGCAAATTATTTTCACAACTATAAGTACTATTTTAGCCTCATTTTAGAGATGACAAAACTGAGGCTTAGACAATTATTTAACCAGTTAAAGTTCAGGTAGTGAATTAGCAGATTCACGCATCTGACTTCACAGCCTGGTGCTCTTAAGTCCTGACCCCTAAGCAGCAGCTGCCTCTTACTTTCCCTTCAGTAGATTATGAAAGCCTTTTCTTTTCAATAAATACACATTGATTTTTATAACACCATGATACTGTGATTTATCCAGTGTCTTACTGGGTTTCATAATATTTTCCAATTATAGAGAAGCTTGTGGTGAACCTCTCGGAACATACACATTTATTTCAGCATCCTTTGGGCACTTTTATTCCTTAGGATGAGTTCTTGGAAGTTTGCCTTTGTGTACACGTGGCCAGCTGCAAGATGGGACAGCGAGGTGCTTGCACTGGGTACTGATATTGTTTAAAGGCCTTCAGTGTTAAGGTACCTGGGATTAAGGACCAGTAGCACCAGCGCGAGGTCACAGCAGGCGCAGAGGCACCCAAGTTGTAGTGTTAACTGCTCTTGGACAGTCTGCGGCCCTGCCAAGCCAGCATTTCTGCCTTTTAAAGAGGGGTGGGAAAAGCATGACTTGGAAGATCTTGACTCTGTCCCACAGCGTTGGGGGCTAAATTTCATTCCGCAGGCTCTCCCAGGCGGGACTGGGCAGGACAGGGCAGGGCGTGGGTAGAGGAGAGGCAGCTGGGAAGATGACGTAATGTGCTCACAGCTTGCGCTTGTGCGGCCGGCGGTCGCGACTGGACCTGTGAACGTTAACCCTTTAATCCCAGGCGGGTAGACGCACCTGCTAGAAGAACAGATCCGGGAAGAAAGGGAGAGGCTCCTTTAAGCAAGGGGAAGGAGGTTGGGCGGAGGACCCGGCGGCTACTCTCTTTATTGGCTCTAAGGCCGCGAGGGGCGGAGCCTACCTATGCTAATCTGAGCTGCTGATCGATGACGTGCCATCACCCCACGCGCCGCTTCGCGCGCCCGTTGGCTAAGAGGAGCCTGGCCCCATTGACAACAAACAAGGGGGTGCGCGGCCCGGGGGCGGAGCCACGAGGGCGCGGGCAGGGGCGGGGGGTTCCCGCCCCGCCCCTTCCGCGCGGTGCCGGGGCGCAGCACAAACATGGCGGCGGCTGGCACGGGCCGGTGAGGCGGTACCGGGCGGGGGCTGTCGGGTGTCATGGGCGGTGGCGGCAGCACCGCCCCCACGTCTCCCTGAGCGGGACGGCAGGGGTGCCTCTGCGCCAAGCCAGGCGATGGACGAGAGTGGCGAGCTGGGCGGCCTGGAGACCATGGAGACCCTCACGGAGCTGGGCGACGAGCTGACCCTGGGGGACATCGACGGTGAGTGGTGAGTGGGTGGGTGGGGGGAGTAGGGGGATCGCGCGGGGAGGAAGGGGTTACGGCGGCGCGCGGGTGCGCGTGCGCCCACCCCACAGCCCCGGCTCGCGCGGGAAGAACCCTGCGTGCCCGGTGGCCCCAGCGGTTCCCAACCCTTCCGGCACGACGGGTGTGAGCCCCGGGGTCGGGGCGCTCGGTTCCGGGAGGCGGTGGAATCCCGAGAGAGCTGGGCCCGAAGCGGATCGAGGAGCGTGGGGACGGGGGCGTCTCGGGGAGCGGCGTCTGAGGAGAGCGTGGGGCCACCGCCTTCCTCTCGCGCCCACACGCGCTGTGGGTCGTCTGGCTCTCTGCGGCTCCGCGTCGCACCTGTCACTCCCAGCCCGACCACAGGAGGGGCTACGGATTCCTCGGACTGCGCCCCTAAAGTTGGCGTTCTAAACTCCTGGTTTTCTGGGGATTAACAGACGGCTGGGTCGTCGGGCGCTCCGGGAAACTTTGGGCATCAGCTGCCGAAGCAAGTTGCTGATGAAGCGAGCAGTGGCGGCGGAGCGTGGACGCCTCTCTCCAGGGAGGGAGACCCGGGCTCTCGTGCTGTTGCGCTGCAAAGGGAGTTAAGCAGCAGGAATTCTGAGTTGTGACCTCTCGGGTACAAGCTGGGAGAGGGTGGCCGTGGTTCTGTCGGCTTTAACAGCGGAGTGGAAGAGCTGGTAGGAGCCCAGGAAGCCGCTCTTGCAATGTTCTCATTTTTCGACCATGGGAACCGATGTTTGGAGAGGGTCCACGACTTGCCCAGGGTCACCCTGCTAGTTACAGAATCCAGTTCTCCCAGTTCCTGAGCTGTTGGTTTCTTGACATTCTACCTTTGGGGATTTGGAATTCAAAGAATAGGCTACTAATCTTAATGACTTTCAAGAATGGAGCTCTTCCCATGTTCTAGGCCCCAAATATTTTGCATTATGTTACTTAATGCTCACAGCAATCCTGTGAAGAAGATTTATTGCCTCTTTTACAGGAGATGTCTGAGATCACTCACCTTAGTCCAGAACCCTTGCTTTTTAAGCAATAACTCAGGAACATTGTTGCTTTTCAGTTTACTAAATGCTTTTACATATAGGATTTCACTACAGCCTTGTAGTAGGCAGGTATTATGGCTGCAGTCCCATTTTGCAGATGAAGAAACTGCAAAATATTCTCTTCTGGAGGAAGAGATAAGTAGTAGCAGCTGTTTGAAAAATATGATTGCCATTTTCCCATTTTGCTTTTGTAACATTTTCTCTCTTGGTTTGCCCTTACTTTGTTTTGGTCACCCAGGCATTATAGCAAGACCTTTAATGAAAGCCCCACTTTGAACCACAGACCCTTCCACTAAGTGCTCCTTAATGGGGAGATCAGGGATGGAAGAATTTTGGGAATATCATAAGGGTAGCTAACATGTTTTGAGTACTCATGTGCCAGGTGTTGTGTTAAGCACTTATACACACTAATATTCTCAATCCTCATAACAACTGTCAGATACAGTTGACCATTATTAGTCTTCTCCTTCTGTTCATTGACTCACCGAGTGTTACACAGAAGTATGCCCAAAGCTGCCTTCTAGCAAGGGCACAAACAGAAATTCATTTTGCACTTCTATTCTTTAATTGATCTTTAGTTGTTTGAATTTGTAATTTATTAAATTACGTAGTGGTTAATATTAACTTTATCCCCGTAGATGACTGAATAAAATAAGTACTCTAGAAACTACTACAGATGTTCAGTGACTTCACAGGCCCCCATACCAAGTTTGGCAAATGTTCCCCTTCTTCATTTGGTCAGCAGGTATTTAAGTGCTGGCTGGGGTGTCTGTGCTATAGGGAACAATGAAAGACAGGAAAGATTGAATTTTATGGTTGAATGGACTTTGCCATGAGAAACAAACCATAGTGCTGAATGTAGAACAGCTTATAAATACTGCACAGGACAGTAAGTGAAAGTCATTGGTGAGGGAACTTGGTAAAGGCTGTTGTATTTGTCAGCTTTTTGTTGCTGTGACAAAATAACTGAAAGAATCAATTTAGAGAAGTAAAGATTTTGGCTCATGGTTTCAGTCTATGGTCACTTAACTCCATTGGATTCTGGGCCTGTGGTAAGGCAGAACATCATGGCAGGGAGGGTGTGAAAGCTGTTAGAAAGGTGTTGGAGGTCTGGGTTTGTAGGTCAGCGCTAGAGCGCTGGCCTAGCCGGTAGGAGGTGCTGGGTTCGATCCTCAGCACCACATATAAACAAACAAACAAATAAATAAATAAATACAAGTTCATCAATAATAAAATAAAGGTATTGGGTTGGAGTTGTGGCTCAGTGGTAGAGTTCTTGCTTAGCATGTGTGAGGCCCTGAGTTCGATTCTCAGCACCACATATAAACAAATAAATAAATACTACCTCCCAATAGTCCATTCAGCTCTGCAAGTTTCAATGAATTAATTCATTGATAAGGTTAAAACCTCATTGCTGCACCAGCGACCTAGTCTTCAACACATGAACACATGGGGGACATTCTACATCCAAACCTTCAAAGCTGGTTTACCAGAGTACAACACCAAGGAGGTAGTCTTTGACCTACAAGAAGGGTTGGGCAGGCTGAAGGCCAGAGTTCTGCAGATAGAAGTATCCCTTGATATTCACCCATATGTTCCCTCTCCAGAATGTTAGTGCAGTGAGGGCAAGGACCTTCCTGTCATTCATCTTGAATTCTTTGTACCAGAATAGTGAGCGTGTCCAGCAAATATTTGTAGAATACCTGAATGAATGACCTTGGCCTGGGCAGAATACTGAATTGTACTAGAACATAGTCTTTGGAGTTGGTTGGGGTTTTTGTTTTGTTTTGTTTTTTTCTCCTTTTCTTTTTGGAACTGGAGATTGAACCCAGGGCTTCATGCATGTGAAGTAAGCATTTTACTACTGAGCTATATCCCATCCCTAATCTTTGGGGTTTGATTAGGTCAGGGTTGGCCAGCCCAGGTGCCAGTCAGATAAGGAAGGGGAGAGATTATTGAAGTACATTACTTCTTTTCTGTGTGTATGATGGGGATAAGGGGTCTTTGCAACCTGGAGGGCTCCTGCTTGCCTCCAGGAGGGGTGGGCAGACTGGTAGAAATCCTCCCGCCTGCTCTAATTCATTGGTGTCCTTTTGGGCTATGGGCCCAAAGTAGCTACATCCATTCACTCATTCAGTATTTCTTAAGTGGTTTCTAAGTACTCCCATCATGTACACAGTACTGAGCATATCTTTGAACAAGATAGATGAGATCTCTCTCAGTGACCTAAATTCTTAATGAAAACACACATTAAATAAAATAAATGAGCCATTTTAGCAAGATACTATGAAAATAAAATGGGACTGTAATATGAGAGTAACTGGGGTAGTCTACTTAGATGAGGTAGTCTATGGAGACATCTTGGAAAGTATTAACACCCACCTGTATTGGGGCACTCTACTGCTGAGTTACGTCCACAGGTCTTTTAAAATTTGAAACAGGGTCTCACTAAATTGCCTAAGCTTGCAGTCTTCCTGCTTCCTCCTTCCAGGTATCTGGGATTATAAACATGTGTTACCATACCCAGCTTAATGTCTCTTTTTCAAAAAATGCCCAACTCTGGATTTTTATATGAAAGCTCTGGATTTTTAAACGTTGGATTTATCTATTATCTATTATCTCTCTCTCTCTCTCTCTCTCTCTCTCTCTCTCTCTCTCTCTATTTAGAAACGCTATAGCCAGGCACAGTGGCGTATGTCTGTAATCCTAGCAGTTCAGGAGGATCACAAGTTCAAAGCCAGCTTCAGCAACTTAGCAAGGCCCTAAGCAACCTAAGGAGATCCTGTCTCGGAAAATAAAATGGGCTGGTGTTGTGGCTCAGTGCGTAAGCATTCCTGGGTTCAATTCCTGGTACCAAAAAAGAAAAGAAAATGAAATAAACACACTGTAGATACACAGCAAAGCATGTGTACTGGTCGATTTCCAGGGTCTTGTTCTGCTGCAGAATGTTCTGTTGTCCCAGCACCACATTTAAACAAATAAATAAATACAGGTCCATCAATAACTAATAAAAAAAAAAAAAAAGAAAAGAAATGTGCTAAAGACAAAAATAGAGTCCCTAAGAGTCCCCACAGGAATGCCAGGTCTCACTTGTGATGAAATAGCTACACTGCTTCCTTTTGTGGTATATTTCTGTGTTTTGAGAAAGGCTCTTGTGCATTGATTATGAGCCAAATCTCCTGGAAGGACAGAGAGGTGGACTCTTCCTCCACTGGGGATCAGAAAAGTCAGAAGCAAGGAGGTGACATTTTTGCTAGGTCCAGGGGAATGGGTGGAGGAGCAGCATGACAAGCATATCAAAGAAGGAGGACCTTAGAAATACAAGACTGCTGGACATTTCCTGGAATATACAGTGTGTGTAAGGAAATAAGATGAGGTCTGAGAGGTGAGTTGGAGCCAGATTATGTTCCAGGCGCAGATGTTTTGTGGAAAGTAGGGAGGGAATTGTTGAACATTTTCAAGTAGAGGGACGGACAAATTAATCATGGGCTGTAAGAAAATTCAGCTATGCTGAGGAAAGAGTAACCTCCCCATTTGAAATGAAGGCCTCTGAAGGGTTAGCCCTGAAGGCAGGGCATGGTGGAATTCTAAGATTCCATCAAGGCTTTGAGCCTGGGGTAGTTGGAGAGTTC